AGCAGCGCCGTGAGGGAGTGGCGTGGTCAGCAGGGCATGCAGGACTCAGGCCGTGCGTCATCCCACTGCCCTCCCTCCGCTGTGACCCTGGGACAAGGAAATGGGTTGGAGAGAGAAGGCAGAGAGGAAGGGAATAAAGAATCTGGTCCAGTAGGAGCAAGCATTGAAAGGAAGGCAGAAACAATTATGAAAAACAAGAATTCCTTTAGCGAAAAATGCAGAAGAAAAGCAAGCAAGCTGAACAACACGAAAGGCAATGGTAGCACAAGGCACTGGGGCAGCGAGCTAGCATGCGAGGGTGGACTGGGGTAAGAGAGAGACGCGAGCATGTGTATGAGTGCATTCTATTCTAGCCCCCTACAACTCTAGTCTAGTGTGAGCTCAAGCCGCCCCAGTGCCATGCGGTACCATCGCCATGCGGAATTGACGTTTTGATTTCGAGCACGCGCCGAGAAAGCAAAGCGACAAGAAAATGAACCAAAGACAGAAAGCGATAAGGATGGCAAGGGGGTGAATAGAGGGGTTATGAGGGGACTTAGAAGCGGAACGACGGGTTGAGCGACGGAAGCATCAGCAGTTGTTGCCAGCAGAAGAGTGACTCCCATCGTCAACGGCACTCCCAGCAGCAGCCCTCCCAGCAGCAGCAGCGCCGTGAGGGAGTGGCGTGGTCAGCAGGGCATGCAGGACTCAGGCCGTGCGTCATCCCACTGCCCTCCCTCCGCTTTGACCCTGGGACAAGGAAATGGGTTGGAGAGAGAAGGCAGAGAGGAAGGGAATAAAGAATCTGGTCCAGTAGGAGCAAGCATTGAAAGGAAGGCAGAAACAAAACGAAAAATGCAGAAGAAAAGCAAGAAAGCTGAACAACACGAAAGGCAATGGTAGCACAAGGCACTGGGGCTGTGAGCTAGCATGCGAGGGTGGACTGGGGTAAGAGAGAGACGCGAGCATGTGTATGAGTGCATTCTATTCTAGCCCCCTACAACTCTAGTCTAGTGTGAGCTCAAGCCGCCCCGGTGCCATGTGCTACCATCGCCATGCGGAATTGACGTTTTGATTTCGAGCACGCGCCGAGAAAGCAAAGCGACAAGAAAATGAACCAAAGACAGAAAGCGATAAGGATGGCAAGGGGGTGAATAGAGGGGTTATGAGGGGACTTAGCAGAGGTACGACGGGTTGAGCGGCGGAGCAGCAGCAGAGTGACTCCCATCATCAACGGCACTCCCAGCAGCAGCCCTCCCAGAAGCAGCAGCACATCGTTCGGAGATTCCTCAGCAGCGGTCGAAGCTGCATGCACGCGTCTCGTCCTCCTCGCTGGCAGCGCTGTGTCGCTCCCTCCCGCTCCTTGGCGTCACCCAAAGGGCGCAGGGCGGGAGAGCACGCATGGAGGAAGAAATCATGGGGGTTGCCGCCAGCAGCTCCGCCTCCTCGCCTCGCGTGCTGCCAGCAGCCTTGCCCAAAGCGCTCCGCCTGCAATGTCTGCCTCGTCCGCCCAAGCGGGTGGTCAGCAGGGCAGTAGCAGGCAGCCACATGCCAGTGGCTGCCAGCCGTGCGTCATCCGGCGGCGCGCACGCCCAAATGCTCTCCCGTTGCATGTGCTCCCGTTGAGTGAGCTGTTGAGACTTAGCCACAGGAGAAGTGTTGAAGCTGCTTCTGGGACGTGGTATGATCATTGGCGCATCGTCGCATCCGGTTTGTCACCAGCATCCGCTCAGTGTCGCGCTGTTGGTCGCCGTCTTCCGCACACGGTCGCACGCGGCTCGTCCCCAACATCCGCACAACGTCGCACGCGGTTCGTCGCACGCGGTTCGTCGCATGCCGTTCGTCGCACATCGTCGCATGCGGGATGCCCCCAGCATACGCACAACGTCGAGGAACGTCGCACGCGGTAAGTAGCCATCATCCGCACACCGTCGCACGAGAAACGTCGCACGCGGTTCGTCTCCAGCATCCGCACAATGTCTCACGCGGTACATCGTAGGCCGTTCGTCGCAAATCGTCGCAGCGCCAGCATCTGCACGCCGCACGCGGAACGTCGCACGCGGTTGGCAACCGTCTTCCGCACACAGTCGCACTCGCCATCATTCGCACACTGTCGCACAGGGAACGTCGCACGCGGTTCGACGCCGTCTTCCGCGGAACGTCGCACGCGGAACGTCGCATGCAGTTCGTCGCCGTCTTCCGCACACTGTTGCACGGGAAACGTCGTGCGCGGTTCGTTCTCAGCATCTGCACAGCGTCGCACGCGGTACGTCGCATGCCGTTGGTCGCACATCGTCGTGTGCGCCATGTCGCCAGCATCCGCTCAACGCCGCACGCGGAAAGTCGCCGTCTTCCGCAGACGTTCGCAGGCGGTAAGTCGCCATTGTCACATAGGAAACGTCGCACGCGATTCGCCGCCATCTTCCGCACATCGTCGCATGCGGTATGCCGCCAGCATCCACACAACGTCGCACGCGGAATGTCGCACGCGGAACTTCGTACGCGGTTGGTCGCCATCACCCGCATGGTTGCTCGTGGTTCGAGAGCCGCTCGCCGATTTCCGCGCACGTTACTACTAGTCGCTCACTGTTCGTCACTAGCCGTTCGACGTTCGCTGCTCACCGCTCGCCATTCGACAGTCGCCGATCGCCGCTATCCGCTCTACTTTCGCCGGTCAACTCAGGTCCCGACCACGGCCTCGCACCCTCTTACTCGGCGACGACGGTCCCCGTGTCGCCATGAGTCAGCGTGACGCCGGATGCCGGTCGCCTTGATACGTGAACTTCACTGGCCGAACTATCCTCGAAGAGCGCAGTTAATCGCTTGTCATAATATCACTTATGCAGGCGACGAATCCGCGAATGGAGTTTCAACGGGTTTTATTGCAAAGATTCGAGTTCCGCCAAGAAGACCGACATCAGTAGCATCGCAAACACCTGCTTCCGTCGTCCGAAATGCTTCTCGTATCGCTGATGATGACACTCGTAGACCACTACGGAGCTATTCTGACGTGAAAACTGTCGATGCTGTGAGCAAATGCTGTTAGAAGATTTCGTGCTACTGCTGCTACCTGAAGATGCTAGCAGCAACCGCTCGTATTTCATTCCTGACACAGCTTAACGTCCTGACACAGCTTAACGTCCTGACACAGCTTAGAGTAGCAGACTTAAATCGCCGACGGCGTTTCTTCACGTATCATGATGCAAGATTCAGGTGGCCTTGACTTAGCGTTCAGCTATCGGCGACTCATAGCAGCCATCGGCCGAGTAGTGCTATTTCGGGACGAATCTTAAACGTAAGAAGAGACATACGCTCTAACTAAAGCGTTTGGAATCGTATCAGGAGAAGATTATCACTGGCAGGGATCATGTTGCTGAGCTAAGAATTACGGTAACCTTTCAGCCTATCATAATCTAACCGCTGTAACACTACGGAAGTAACATTCGCGGCAACTAAAACGTTGGAACTTCCTTAGCGGTTACGAATTGTCAGTACCGTGGTTATAAGCTAACGATCAGCTTATCCGAAGCTAGACGCTGACACGCCTTACTACTCCCACTGTCATAGCTAAGCCTGACAATACTTATCGCGATGTGCTGCTACTGTCATAGCTAAGACTAACAATATGCGCTTAGTAACAAACGTAGTATGCGACTAGCTACATCTTTGAGGAATTTCGACAGCAGCCATGGAAAGCTGAGGAAGCCATGGATGGAAGGATGAGCTAACGCTGGCTAAGGAATCAAGTGACTGGAAGTTGGCTGAGGTGAGGTGACTGGAATGGCCTTGGGAATGTCCCCGTTGACCTGGTCTCGGGAAGGCTGCAAAACAGAGTCTTCCGCTGCTGATAGGAGTCGCCAAAACAGAGTCTTCCGCTGGTCTCCGCCTGCCTCAGGACAGCGCCAACCTTTCGTTAGCGAATGACAACAGAGATTTAGACAATTTTCGCCACCAGAACGGAGTCCATCGCAGCCGCTGAAGCTGCGATGGGGTCTATCCGGACGAAGCGCAGTTTTTGAATGTTCCGCGCGGGAGACTTCAGCAGCAGGCGCTCTGAAAATTTGTTCGGCCCAAATCTGCTGGGCCATCGCCGCATGTTTCTTATCTATCATCAGCGACCACTTGACAATCGGAATGTGTAGACACGATTCTGGCCCCGGTCGGCACACGAAACAAACAGACTTCATATTACCGAAAAAGTTGCATATTCTTAAGCATTTACCCTTGAAAAAACTCCAGCACACCCCTGACAACCTCACTGCACGATGATGGAGTTGGACACGTGGAGCACATCGGCAGGTCTCTCAGAAGTCCACAGACAACCCAACTTCTTGTGAGATTATGTTATGGAGCAACCAGATTCCGTTTCGTGACGACGAAGTCTGGTGTTGGCGGCAAGGCGGCAAGGTGGCAAGGGGGGCATTTGAAGGTGGGTTTACTTTCGCTGCAGTCACTGATTTTTTTTGTCTCAAGACCAGCATAACAATACAGTGCATGCAACATCACTTTCAATACAAGAAACCCCTCAACCAATGACAATGACAGCTCCGCCATGGATTCCGCCTGATGGCTTTAAAGAGCTCGTTCGTGAAGGCCATGTGTCAGTTGGTAACATTGAGCATAGATTCGGAATCGCCTCGTTATTACGAAGCTACTGGTACACTTCTCGTGTCCAACTGACGGACATTGTACCTATAGCATTATGGGGTTCTGTTTCCATGTCAGCTGCTAACTTCAAGGTCCCACGAGACTCTCCACGGCTGCTCAACGCGTTAATATCTAGGAGCTCCACCTGTTCATTCAATCGTCAACAAGCGATCCAGAGTGGATTCCTAACCCAACATTCATTGGTCGCTTATGGACATCCAGATTACGGAAGCAGACTATTTTCAAGGCTCCCGTGTTCCAGGTGTTTCAAGTTCAAACCTACATATACTGCTAACAATGGTGCAAGTGCTGTGCTCAGACATTGGTTTATACCTCAAGAAGGTTTTCGTTTCAAACCGTATCATCACCGCACGATGTCCAGGATGACGACCAGGAACGAGGGAGTCCGCGTCAGTGATAATGCTGCTGGTGTTCCCTTGGACAAAATCAAGGAGGTGCCGGTGGTTGTTGATCCTTCAGCTACTTCGGCTGTTAAGCGTACGGCTGACTTGTTTACGGAAGCAGACAAGGAAGCCCTCCAGCCTGAAGGGTCGACACATGAAGTAAAGGAGGCAGCTCGCGACTTGATCAGTGATAGCAGTGGTGGAAAGCTGCCGACAGAGGACAATGGTGCTAAGGCTGATGCTACCAGCGGTGGTCCTAGCAGTACTCTGCAAGCGGAGAAGGATGCGGCGTCAAACATTTTCTCAAAGGGTGCTGAAGATGACGAGGACGACGGATACCCCAGTGATGATCCAGAAGAACGCTACGATGCGCAGGTGAAGAGTGAAGTCGCGCAGCGGATTCGCTTCGCTATCGTCCTGCTGATTCCGATCGCCTTCAAGCCGGAGACCACGCGTGTGCAGGCGACGCTTCGCGCGCTCTTCAATGTGTGGAAGAAAGACCTGAACATGGAGATTCAAACGACGACGAAATTTCAGGAGCTGACGGCGGTGTTCCTGAACTAGAAGCAGTACTGGAGGCTGCAGGTTACCTTCGATCGAGCTCGTGATGCCAACTTCGTGTGGAAGCATGGGATTGTGCACACCTGTGTTGACGGGAAGCGGATTAACCTGGACTGGCAACACCCGGTGGACCCGGCTTACGTGAAGGCACGTGCGGCTGATCCGCTGCTGGTTGAGGTTCTGTTCAAGGGAGTGGATGCAGTGATTACACCGGAAATGCTCTGTGATATGCTGGTGACGGTGAAGCTGGAGAAGCGTGGCCGATCGGCTTTCAAAGAAGGGAGCTGTTTCCACCGTGTGGTGAATCCTGTTACAGGGATGGACACCGACAAGGTCAAAGGGCTGGTCAAGCAGCATGTGGGGGACAAGTACCGCTGGCGTTATATGATTGAAGACCCGACTTCTCATGATAAGCAGCTGCTGGTGCACTACCCATCGCTGAACTGTGTTTACTGCTCGGGGTATCACATGACGAGGTATCATGATGAGTATGTGTCGGACAGACAGAACAACATCAGCAACTGGAGCCTGTCGCTGGGACGGGTCCATGGAATCAATGGTAATAGAGGGGGTGCGTTTTTGACTTATCTGTTGATTTCTTGCTCGCTGTCTCCACGGTGTTGCGGTGCTAATGTTGTGGGTGTGTCGACTACGCGCAGCCGCCTCAGTCAGGATCACAGATCTGACCAGGCTCATTCTGAAGGACCCTGCCGTCGTGTTGATCTCAACCGGGGGGAATCCCGAGGAGTGGATCTGCGTCCAAGAGAACTGCGAGAAGGCGAATGGGGTGACTTTCGCGCAGGCTGCGGAGCATGTGGTTTCTCAGCGGCACAGCGATGGCTTGGTGTCAGGCTTGGCTACGCGCAGTTCCAAGGCAGGGGTCAACCTGACTGCGGCGAAGAAGGAGTTTGGTGTGTGAACGAGAGGCTTGATCCTGCGGTGGAGGAAGTGTCTGTTGGCTACGAAGGGGAGGAAGCACAACGAGGAGTTAGGCGTAGGTGGAGTTGCAACATGTACTGTATCAATGGGTGTAAAGAGCCACTGAGAGTTGTTGTATCACCGCCCTGTGGATGCGTGGGGGCAACGACAGAGGTTGAATAATGGATAACACCAACCGGCTAACAATCCTGTCCCTGAATGTCAACGGCCTGGGAAGCGTAGGGAAGCAGCAAGCAGTAAAACGATGGATCAGGACATCAGCAGATATAGTGATAATGGCGGACACTAGAATAGCGGAATATCATAATTTCTGGACTGATCTGCGGCCCAGCAGCATGGTCGCGGTGGCAGCACCTACCAGAGCGGGTGGGTTGGCCGTCCTAAGCTTCAAAGACGGAGTACAGATAGAAGACGTACAGCGTCACTCTTCGGGGAGATTGTTGCATGCGCGGCTACGGTGGGGAACGAGGGTGTTGAGGGTGCTGGCGGTGTATTTCCCTGCGCAGCCGCCACCGAGGGGGAGTTTCCTGGGTACCGCTTTCAAGGATGTCACGGACAGCCTGCCAAGGGGGGAGGATCTCGTGGTAGCAGGGGATTTCAACATGATTGAGGATCCCATACTGGATAAATCAAACAGACAGGGGGTGACAGGCGACAACTGCCGTATGATGCAGATGTTAGCGGATTTCCACGCAAAGGATGTGTTTCGGGAGCTGTATCCGGATGAGAGACTGTTCACTTTTTACTGCAAGTCGGCGAAAGTCAGCTCGAGGATAGATAGGGTGCTGATCTCCCAGTCCATGCTGCACCTGGTGGCGGGGGTGAAGCACAAGAAGATACCAACACGGATCACTGATCATAAGTTTGCGGTGAGGTTGAGGCTCGGGTGGAGGGGCCCGCGTGAGTCAGGACCGGGGTTATGGTGCTTTCCAGCGAGGCTGTTGAAGCGTCCAGGGGTGGTGAAGGCGATCGCGGAATTGGCTCGGAAGCATCGTGAAGGAGGCAGCGGAGACTTTGACAGGTTAACGAGGAGCTTGACTGCGCAACTGAGGAAATACGACAAAGAGGAGAGGAGGCGGGTGAAGCTTACGAGGTGTACTCTGGAGGAGCAAGTGGAACGGCTACAGCACAAGGCGATGGCTGACCCTTACGATGACGAGGTGCAGGCGCTGTTGTCCAGCCGGGAAGCGATGCTGCAAAGATATTGGGATGGGAGGAGGAACTTGTTGCAGTTAAGGACCGGGCTCAAGGTACAGCTGGAAGGGGAGGCACCAACGAGTTTCCTGACGGCGTTGGTCAAAAGCAGGAAGGCGAAAACGGGGATTAAAGAGCTGGTGAGAAATGGGGTTAGCCACACAGAGGCACGTGAGATATTGGAAGTGGCTACGTGTCATTTCAGGGAGGCCTTTGATGAAGCGCCGACAAGCGGTGCTGAACCGAGGTTGGAGTGGTCGCCGAGGAAGACGTTGGACGAGGCGGCTGCAGAGGGCCTGGCAAAGGATTGGTCGGAACAGGAGGTTAAGCAGGCGCTCAAAGAGCTGGCCAACGACAAGTCGCCGGGACGGGACGGGCTGCCCAAGGAGTTGTTCCAGCGGCACTGGGAGCTGCTACGGGAGCCGGTGATGAAGATGATTAGGGAGTTCGCCGCGACAGGGAAGCTGCCTGATGTGGCAAATGAGGCGGTCACAATTTTGTTGTACAAGAAGGGGACGGAGACAGATATTAAGAATTACAGGCTGATTACGTTGCTTTCAGGGGTATACAAACTTCTGGCGAAGGTGGTGGCGACGAGGATGAAGGCGGTGTTGGGACAAGTTATCTCAAAGGAGCAGTACGGTTTTCTATCCGGGAGAAGGTTATCGGACGCAGTATCGATGGTGGCTGATATGATTGAGGCAGGCCGGAACGAAAACAGCGACTGGTACTTACTTCTGATTGATTTTGAGAAGGCGTATGATTCAGTGCGCAGGGGCTTCATGGTCGAGACGGTCGCCAAGCTGGGTTTCCCACCACGGTTCATAAGGTGGATAGAAGCCCTGCACAGTGACGTTCACACAAGGGTGTGTGTTAACGGCTGGATAGGAGAGCAAATCACGATGAGGAAGGGGGTGCGGCAGGGTTGTCCACTGGCGCCGTACCTTTTCTTGTGCGCGGTAGAGCCGTTGTGCCGGCTAGCAGAGGAGAGGAAATTGGGAATCGGAGAAGGCAGCTGCGACAGGCTGTCGTATGTGGGGTACGCAGATGACACGACCTTGTTGCTGGAAGGAGAGCAGCAGCTGAAGGATGCGGGCGTGCTGTTGCAAGAGTACGCGGAGGTGTCAGGACTGAGGGTGAACAAGGGGAAATCTGCGGTCCTGCCGCTGGGGAGGAACGTGGGGGTACAGGCGCCGCATGGTACGGAATACAAGTGGGAGGGGGCAAACGAAGTTGAAAGGCTTCTTGGAGTATGGTTATCTCCTGGGGGTGACGCAGAGGCAACGTGGGAAAAAGCCTTTGACAGGGCAGCAGGAGAGTTGAGCAAGTGGAGCACCAAATATCTTACGACTGGAGCGCGCGTGACCATCATCAACAGTTACGTTCTGCCGATCTTCCTTTTTCAGGCGCAGGTCTACCCGCCGGACGACCTGCTGTGGCGAAGGGTAGAGAAGCTGATTGAAAATTTTGTATCCGGTAATCACGCAGACACGGAGCGGCACTTCAGGCTCTGGAGTGGGGACCTGATATACACGCCAAGAGAGCAAGGGGGACTGGGGGTGATAGATCCGAGGGGGAGAATCGACAGTGTGGCTATGAGGTGCGCGGGACTGGCGCTGAAGCAGGAGTGTTCGCTGAGACGGGGTTTGTCGGAGAAAGCGGCGGGCCTACCTCTTGGGTGGGCGACGCTGTATGCGCACAAGGCGGTGCTGAGAGGAGGCCTGTTTAAAAGCCGGAGGTGGGCGAGGCTGTGTAAAACAATTCTAAAATCAACGGTGGTGGCAGTACCAGAGGTGGCGTCCAGGTGGGAAGCAGAAGGGGAGTTTTTGTGTTAAAAAAAAAAACATCATTCATCGCGGAAATGCCCCGTTTGGTGGGCAGAAGGGCACGGAGAAGCTAAGAACGTGGCGAATGTGCGATATGGTGCTGAGGAAATGGGACGGTACACGGACGCTTAAGCCGGAGGTGACACTGGCAAGGGAGCTGGGCGGGAAAAAGGAGGCGGAGATGGCACTGAAGGCGTTTAACGCGGCACCGGAGCGGTGGCGACAGTGGGTGCTGGCGCCTCTGACGGCAGAGGAGATTGCTGCTGAATCGTCGGTGGTAAGCACCAGGCTCCCAAGCGGGCAGAGGTGTCTCTGGGAAATCTGCGGCAAGATGGGCAGGAAGGTGGAGCTTCGGGGGCTCAGCGGTAGAGGAGAGCGCACGGCATGGGATGTTAAGATAGTGCTTTGCTGCGACAGTGTGGTACCGGCGAAGCTGTCTCGAGAGCGGGCGGTACGGGAAGCTGGGGATCCAAGGGTGCGGTTGCTTAACTCGACGCTATTCAAAGAAGAGGTGGTGGCCCCAGTGAGGGAACTCAGGGAGCCGAGCAAGGGGTTAGAGGCGGTGGAAGTGAAAAGGTCGAGCTGGGAGGCCCGGGCGAGCAGGAAAATTAACTGGGAGAGGAGCAGGAAGATACGGGACTCTTTGGTGGTTCCGGCCAAAGCGAGAGATGTGCTCCTCCGCGTGCACAATCTCAACCTGCAGGTGGGGGAAAGAGTTCCGTTCGTGAAAGGTGGGGCGACATGCCCGAACTGCGGTCAGGAGGAGACGCTGGAACACTGCTTGCTGGAATGCAGGTGTGTGGCACCAGTGGCTAGCGCTGTCAAATCGGAGCTCAGCATGATGCAGCCAGCAAGGCGGGTGGACAGGCTGGCAGACCTCGTTTTTGGGGAGGAGGGGACGAAGTCTGGCTTTCCCGAAGCTACCATGGTGGCAGTGGCGCTGCACCAGGTATGGCTGGGAAGGTGTGATGTGTCGCTCCGTAAGGCGAAGAAGTTCCAGGCACGGAAGGTGCTCCGGAGGATCAACGTAGAATTCAACAGGCATGCGAGAATCTACTGTGGCAAGCCGAGCAGGCAGGCAAGGAAGGATAAGGCGAGGTGGAACTTGGCGGAGGATGAGGCACGTGTCATGCGGCAGATATGCGTCAATGAGGCGGTGGGGCTGAAGTGGCAAGGAAGCTTTCAGTCTATCTGGTCGAACCCGAGAACCTCCGTGAAGCCACCGTAAAGCTGTGGGGAGGGCCAGGCGTAATTTTGCCAGCCTGATCCCAGTTCATCAGTTACGACTGAAGTGTTTTGCTTGTACAGTATTGTGTAAGCTTTCACTAAAAACTAACAAGACACATTATAGCTCATCATTAAAACATGAAAACGGCTGGAGAAAACGAGGGATCCATGGACCTGCTTGACAATTTCCCTCACGAGATGGAAGGTTGACGCTGGACAGCGATACTGATTGATGTGTCAAACATATATTTATATATCATAGTTTAGATAGGCTTTAGTGGGGTACTCACTGTGGGGTACAACCCCTTAGGTTTCACTCTTGTACCAAAACCTTCTCGATAGTTGAATCATCCCTACCACCCTACTCTAACATGGTATTAAGAGCCCTTAGGTCTTAGGACCTAGTTTCCTAGTGGGCCCACCGTTACCTCTCTTTTTTTTTAGGGTTTCCCCTGCCTGTCGAGCTGCCCCACCCGTCGCGCCGCCCTGCTGGCCGCGCG